GCCGTCGAGGGCACTGCTGGACCTGCTGGCCGGGGCGGTTGATGGGCTAATTTAGCTGTAGCTTCGTCACGGTCTGTCTGTTCAGCCTGCCCAGGTGACCGAGGTGGGGGACAGTGTGTCGGCACCCCCGCACTTCATTATTGGTCCAGGAAAGCGAGTTTCCCTGTCACTGGAGGTTTTCTGGGGTTACCCCGATACGGAAATATATTTTCTGAACATTTCTCAGCCATGTTTGTGGGTTCCACCTTCTTCACGGGAAGGCTTCAGACTACCCTGAGAACATACCAGTGATGTGGGGAACGTGGATAACCCACGTGGGAGGCAGTGGGTGACGCCCATTTGTAAGTGTTCAGATGGACCAGGAGGGGTGACAGTGGTCCGCCTGGTACCTCGATGGTCTGCCCCGGGACTGTGGGTTGACGAAGCAGACATTGGTTGTAAACCAGTTTTGTGACCCCGGAGCAGTTTCTCACACTTCGGATCATTTTTATCTGTGCCAGGGTGAGTCAAGGATGTCAAGCTTTTATTTTTTTATTTAAAAACAGTTTGTTTTCTTTATTGCTTTTAGAGAGAGAGGCAGAGAGAGATGGAAACATTGATGAGAGACAACATCAATGGGCCGCCTCCTGCACGCCCCCCACTGGGGATCAGCCCACAACCTGGGCATGTGCCCTGACTGGGAATCGAACTGGCGACCTCTTGGTGCAGGGTCGACGCTCAGCCGCTGAGCCACACCAGGCTGTAAAGACTCCTTTAAAGAGGCATCTTTTGATTCATTTAGTTTCTTAGAAGCTTCTGCATACCAGTGAAAATGCATCCTTTGGTTTGGGGGAAAATTTGACCCTTTTATTCTAGAGCGTCTAAGGTAAAAGCTCCCCACTTGGCCAAGATAATTGCAGGTCCTCTTTGGGGAGGGTAACCCACAGGTTCAGGAAAACACAGTTCCTGGGCTTTTCATATAGTTAGCTGGGTCCCAGGTGGAGGGGTCCCAGGTGGAGGGGTCCCAGATGGAGGGGTCCCAGGTGGAGGGGTCCCAGGTGGAGGGGTCCCAGATGGAGGGGTCCCAGGTGGAGGGGTCCCAGGTGGAGGGGTCCCAGGTGGAGGGGTCCCAGGTGGAGGGGTCCCAGATTGTTCGCAGCCAAAGGAATCGGTTTTTCTCTTTTTTCCTCCTCGTTGCTTGACGCCTCGAACTCGCCCCAGTCCAGCTGAAATTAAATTGGGCCCTATCCGAAGTCAGAACCAGCCTGGGTTCTAAGTTGGACCCGGTCCCGTTCTGTTACGTCGGCTGACAGCAGACCCAGTCTGAAGAAAGAAATGCTCAGGTACATTTGGGGAGCTCTTTGAAATGCAGACGTCTTAGATCTCTCGCACCTGTGCCCTGCGCCCGGAGAAAGCAGACAGCTCGCTGGCCTTGGTGGGCAGCCTCACCTGGCTGCTCCCTGCCCCGCGGCCGGGGGCATCTCCTTCGGTCCCTTATCCGACATCAGAACGGTGGAAAGATAAACGGAGGCATATTCAACTCTTAGGAGTTTATTTGCGCAAAACTTGATTGAAATCGGGCGGCACCGGACCCGGAGTGGTGGGCAGCCTGCCTTGCTGGGAGCTGGGAAAGACCTCGACAGAAAAGGAAGGAATTATTGACGGTCGCTCCTGCGCCAGGCGGGCGGCCGCTTGTGACGGGCTGTCCTGAGTTTGGCGTTCGTCACCTTGAGGCCTTCAGAGGCCCCGGTGGGCTCGCTTCTGTGGGCGTGCCACACTGGAGACCCTCAGCCTCACGGCCTCTGGTCGAGTTCGTTAGCAGTGCAGATGGCGTGGCGGACCCGGGGTCAGGGATTCAGAACACGGTCACTGTGCTCAGGGTTCCCACAGGCTGTCGTTTGCTTGCTCACTCCTTCGGCGGCTGGTGCCGAATGCCCGTGTGCTGCTGCGCGTGCCGGGCGTGCCTGCCTCGCCGACGCCGTCGGGGGCCTCGGCCCCGCGGACTGACCCCCTGGGCGGGGAAAGGGCCCGCAGGTGTAAGGACAGTGCGTGGTGTTCAGGCGAGTGCTGTGGGTGGTTGGGAGACGGTGTGCCGGGGACGAAGGGAGCAGGCTGAGCGGTTCCAGTTTAATTAGGGTCATCACCGCTTCTCCTCCAGGCGGGTGTGCGTTGCCCATGTGGACGCCGTGAGGAAGAGCAGCCCAGGAGAGGGAACGGACGGCACAGTGGCCCTGAGGCTTGAGAACATCCCGCTGGCATGCTGGACGAGCCGCCGGGAGACCCGGGCCGGGTGGCTGGAGACAGCAAGGGGCACTGTGGGTGGGGAGGAGGGCAGAACGCTAATGGGAGCCCGCTCACCTGGGGACCTTTGCTTACCCTCTGAGCTGGGCAGTGAAGGCAGGTTCTGAGCAGGACTGACACTCGCATGTGGGAAGCTCCCTGTGGCTGCTGCATTGAAGGTGGCATTCGGGGGGCAAGGGGAGAAGCAGTGGGGAGACCAGAAGGGAGCCAAGCTGGGAGCTACTGCAGCCTCCAAGCCAGAGAGGCTGGTGGTCTCGACGGGTGGAAGGGGACAGGTGTCGCATCCTGGTGTATTTTCGTGCAGCTTAGAAAACCAGGTTAAAAAGGTCTCAGACTCCAAAGCTCCCAAAGCACCCGGGTGAGTCCTCATTTGAGGACCATCTGATGAGATGGACAGGTGTGTAATCAGGGCTCCGTGTTCTTTTCCTCCTGGGATTTGGGTGTGTGTGCACGTGTGTGCACGTGTGTGCACGCGTGTGCACGCATACAGGGCGTGCCTCTCCAGGCCAGTGGTGAGCAGTCACACCCAGCGAGCAGCTCACTGAGCTGGTGATAGTTGAGCGGAGAGAGTTAAGCAGCACTAAGTGAACATAACTCGTCCGGGAAGCCTCAAACATCTCTCGATTAAGCCAGAACATATTTTTGGTAAAATATGCTGTGACTCAGCATTCTTGGAATACTGTGATGGTAAAAAAAATATAAAATAAAGATTCAATTTCCTGCCTTGGCTGGTGTGGCTCAGTGGTTGCATCGGCCCGTGGACCAAAGGGTTGCAGGTTCGATTCCAGGTCGAAGGCATGTGCCTGGGTTGCGGGTTTGATCCCCAGCCCTGGCCAGGGTCGTGTGGGACACAAGCAATTGACGTGAGACACATTGATGTTTCTCTCTCTCCCTCTCTCCCCCTCCATCCCTTCCACTCTGCCTAAAACTCAGTGGAAAAATATCCGCAGGTGAGAAGTCACAACATCAAGAACAAAAAAAGATTCCGTCTCCTCAGCCCCTCCCTCTCGTGAGCTCATTCATGCCCTTCATCCGTAGACTCCGAGACTCCGAAATTGCATCCTGTCGTTTTGCCCCAGATTTTCAAACAATTAACTGGGGAATGTACTAGCCGGTTTCAGATGTCTCCTGGTAGGTGTGCAGTTCATTGTCTGCACAGATCACGACTTCAGTCGTGTGCTTGGAGGAGACTTGACAGAATTTCCTGTAGCGGGTCCTTTGAAAGCTCACCAACACAGCGGCTCACCAAGATGTCAGGTAGAGCACCCCAATCAAGTCAAGGTGCGTGGCCCACCTCCAACACACCTCCGTCCTCAGCCAAGGTGACTGTTCAGCTGCTTCTGTGTCATGAACTATTTTGCGTTAAGGCTTTCTGACTGATCACAGCAGTGATTTTGGTCACTTGATTTTTTTTTTTTTCTCCATCTTATACTTGCAGCGGTTACTTAGGAGGAATAGGTGTGTGTTCTCCTTCTTGTCCTGGGGGCACCACTACCCCGGTGGTTGCTAAGACCGTTTCTTGGCTTGGAGTAAGGGGAGCAGGAAGTAGCTTCTTCCCTCAAATCCGTCCCTTTCATAGGTTCACGTCGTGTTTTAGGAGTTCTGATTCGGTTTGGGACGCAGTGACCTGCGCAGGTCCTTGTGTTTTTGCAGCCTGGGCTATTTGGGATGTCATGTGACCCTGGGAAGGAGAGTGTCTATATCCAGGAAGAGATTTTTTAATGAAGTGTGAGTGGTTTTCAGACCACATCGTCACGTGGTATTTCTCCCTCGGGGGCACGGTGTCAGGGAGGTTCTCTGCCGAGTCTCGGACTGGAGGGCAGTGTCCACTGGAGGCCCTGGCCATGGGCGCACCAGCTCTGAGTCTCAGCCTTCTCTCTGAATGGCCACGAGGACACACCTGCCACAGGTGAGGGCCACGTGAGCCAAGGTGTAGGCGAGCACTTTGCCAGCTCCCAACCTTCTCCAGTTTAGGTCATCGTGTTGTGGGGTTGTTCCGAGCTCGTGCCTGGGGACCGTTCATTTCTGCCTTGAACTTGCTAAGTCGAGTGAGCCAGTTTCCTTGACCGTAAAGTAGGGGTGTGCCTAGGGCTGGCAAGGGGGGACGCGTCAAACTGTGGGCTCCGGAAACAATTCTCGTTTAAAAACTCTGATTGGATATGTTTTGTGGGGAGGGGGATTTTTGCTCATCCCTCCCCCCAACTTATTAGTTGAAAAATGTCAAACTTACAGAAAAGTTGCAAGAACAGTATGATGAACACCCAGGTACCCTACAACCAGCGGTTGCCAGTATTTGGACACATTTGCTTCATCACTCTCTGCACATGTATACATTGTTTTCTTTTTAAGACTTTAAAAAAAAATTTCTTTTTTCTTTATTGACTTTAGAGAGAGAGGAAGGGAGAGGGAGAGAGAGAAACATCGATGAGAGGGAACATTGATTGGCCTCCTCCTGCACGCCCCCCACTGGGGATCAGCCCACAACCTGGGCATGTGCCCTGACTGGGAATCAAACAGGGACCTCTGGGTGCAGGGTCGACGCTCAGCCACTGAGCCACACTGGCCGGATGGATTGTAAACGTCAGTTTTCACTTTTTGGGGTGTGCCTTCAGAAGTCCTCTTCTACAGAGGGTGGCAGAGATAGTGGGTTGGCTGCCGTCTGAGGGGTGAGGTTGGGGCTTCCGCATCCTTCTCGCTAATGGGCACCTCTTCCGGAACAGGATGAGCTCACCGCTGTGAATGTGAAACAAGGGTTCACCAACCAGCCGGCCTTCACCGGAGACGAACACGGCTCAGCCAGGAACATCGTCATCAACCCGTCGAAGGTACGCTGGCTGTCTGGCCCCAGACCTCTGGAGACGTGTGTGTGGGGGTCCCCTCGGTGGTTCAGGTGGATGCATCGCTCTTGTTCAAACCACAGTCCATGGTCAGTTCCCCAGATGTCCTGCAAGCCGTCCTGTCCTCGGGTCCAGCCGGGCTGTCCTGTCTCGTCTCTGCTGACATGCGGTTCGGCTCTCCAGCGCCCCTCGTTTTGTTTTGTTTTTGTTTTTGGGGGGGGGCTTTCAGGAATACCGCTTTAGAAGAGTCCAGTCCAGCTACGTGTCTTATTCTAGTCCTTCTAGGTTTGTCTTGTTGTTTTCTCATGACAGGATTCAGGTTGAATGCTTTTCAGAAAGCACGCAACGCCAGTCGGCTGTCAGCGGCTACACTGAGTTCGCTGCCCGAAGGGGGGTCTGCGTCTCCCCATCTTAGAGAGTAGGCACCTCTGCCCGGTGGGAACCTCTGACGCCGCTGCTGCGGGACCCTGTGATACCCTCTCAGTTCCTCCCCCGAAGGGGTGTCTGCGTCTCCCCACCTTGGGGAGTAGGCACCTCTGCCCTGTAGGGACCTCTGACGCTGCTGCTGCGGGGCCCTGTGATACCATCTCAGTTCATCCCCCGAAGGGGTGTCTGCGTCTCCCCACCTTGGAGAGTAGGCACCTCAGCCCTGTAGGGACCTCCGACGCCGCTGCTGCGGGGCCCTGTGATACCGTTTCAGTTCCTCCCCCGAAGGGGTGTCTGCGTCTCCCCACCTGGGACAGTAGGCACCTCAGCCCTGTAGGGACCTCCGACGCCTCTGCTGCGGGGCCCTGTGATACCATCTCAGTTCCTCCCCCGAAGGGGTGTCTGCGTCTCCCCACCTTGGAGAGTAGGCACCTCTGCCCTGTAGGGACCTCCGACGCCGCTGCTGCGGGGCCCTGTGATACCATCTCAGTTCCTCCTGTGATTTTAGCGCCAATCTAGGGCCCTTGCCGAGGGGGATCCTTGTTTTGTGGGTGAAAGCAAAATGCTGGTTTTCTAGTTGTTGTTCCTTCTACGTTCATTACTTGGGATTCATTCGTAAAGGGCTCGCATTTATTACCATCACTTTTAAGCCCTGGACTCTGTTTGTTGTATTTTTATTTTTTTGGTTAATCCTCATGTGAGAATATTTTTCCATTGGGTTTAATTTTTTTTTTTTGTTACAGATGTTTCTCCTTTTTTACCCCATTGGCACCCCCCTTCCCACCCCACCTCCGCCTCGTCCCCGGCTTTGTTGTCCATGTCTATTGGTCATGCATACATGCATATAAGTTCTGTGGTTTATCTCTTCACACCCCCCCAACCCCCTCTTCTGAAGGATGTCAGTCTGTGCCCTACTTCCATGTTTCTGGGTCTACTGTATTCCTCAGACTGTTGTGTTCATGATATACCGTATATAAGTGAGATCATGTGGTATTTGTCTTTTTCTGCTTGGCTTATTCACTTAGGATAATACTTTCCAGGTCCCTCCATGTCGTCTCAAAGGATAAGAGATCTTTCTTTCTTACAGCTGCATAGTACTCCATTGTGTATATGTACCACAGCTTTTTTATCCATTCGTCTACTGATGGACACTTGGGCTGTTTCCAGATCTTAGCTATTGTAAATAGTGCTGCTATGAACATAGGGGTACATACATTCTTCCTGATTGGTGTTTCAGGCTTCTTAGGGTATATTCCTAGAAGTGGGATCACTGGGTCAAATGGAAGTTCAATTTTAACTTTTTGCGGTAACACCATATTGTTTTCCATAGTGGCTGCACCAGTCTGCATTCCCACCAGCAGTGTACTAGAGTCTCCTTTTCTCCACACCCTCGCCAACACTTGTTGTTTGATGATTTGTTGTTGATGGCGGCCATTCTGACAGGTGTGAGGTGATACCTCATTGTTGTTTTAATTTCCATCTCTCTGATGATTAGTGATGTTGGGCATTTCTTCATATGTCTCTTGGCCATTTGTATGTCCTGTTTGGAGAGGTGTCTATTCAGCTCCTCTGCCCATTTTTTAATTGGGTTCTTTGTCTTCCTTTTGTGGAGTTGTATGAGCACTCTATATATATTGGAAATTAACCCCTTATCCGATATATCATTGGCAATGATGTTCTCCCATACAGTGGGTTGCCTTTCCATTTTGATTATTGTTTCTTTTGCTGTGCAGAAGCTTTTTAGTTTGATGAAGTCCCATGTGTTCATTTTTTCCTTTGTTTTTGTTGCCTTAGATGATGTATCAGTGAAAATTCTGCTCCATATGATGTCCCAAATTTTCTTGTCTACATTCTCTTCTAGAATTTTTATGGATTCATGGGTCACATTTAAGTCTTTTATCCATTTTGAGTTTATTTTTGTGTATGGTATAAGTTGATGGTCTAGTTTTATTTTTTTGCATGTAGCTGTCCAATTTTCCCAACACCATTTATTAAAGAGGCTGTCTTTACTCCACTGTATGCTCTTGCCACCTTTGTTAAATATTAATTGAGCATATTGCCTTGGGTCCATTTCTGGGTTTTCAGTTCTGTTCCACTGGTCTATATGCCTGTTCTTGTGCCAGTACCAGGCTGTTTTGATTACAGTCGCTTTGTAGTATAACCTGATATCTGGTAATGTGATCCCACCTACGTTGTCCTTCTTTTTTAAGATTGCTGTGGCTAGTCGGGGACTTTTTTGGTTCCATATGAACTTTTGAAGTATTTGTTCTAGTTCTGTGAAATATATCGTTGGTATTTTGATGGGGATTGCATTGAATCTGTAGATTGCTTTGGGTGGTATGGACATTTTAATGATGTTAATTCTCCCAATCCATGAACAAGGTATGTGCTTCCACTTTTTTATATCTTCCTCGGTTTCTTTTTTCAATGTCCTGTAGTTTTCTGCAAATAGGTCCTTACTTCTTTGGTTAAGTTTATTCCTAGGTATCTTAATTTTTTTGCCGCGATGGTAAATGGGATTGTTTTTCAGTTTCTCTTTCTGTGAGGTCATCCTTGATGTATAAGAATGCCGTCGATTTCTTGACATTAATTTTGTATCCTGCTACTTTGCCAAATTCATTTATTAAGTCTAGTAGATTTTTGATGGAGTCTTTAGGGTTTTCTATGTATAATATGTCATCTGCAAATAATGACAGTTTCACTTCCTCCTTTCCAATTTGGATCCCTTTTATTTTTTTCTCATGTCTGATTGCTGTGGCTAAGACTTCCAGTATTATGTTAAATAAGAATGGTGAAAGTGGGCATCCCTGTCTTGTTCCTGTTCTTACGGGAAATACTTTTAGTTTCTGCCCATTGAATATGATGTTGGCCGTAGGTCTTTCATATATGGCCTTTATTATGTCGAGATATGATCCCTCTATTCCCACATTGCTGAGCGTTTTTATCAGAAATGGATGCTGGAATTTGTCCAATGCTTTTTCAGTATCTATTGATATGATCGTGTGGTTTTTATTCCTCATTTTATGTGGTGTATCACATTTATTGATTTGCGAATATTGTACCAGCCTTGCACTCCTGGAATGAATCCCACTTGGTCATGATGAATACTTTTTTTGATGTATTGCTGGATCTGATGTGCTAGTATTTTGTTCAGGATTTTGGCATCTATGTTCATCAGGGATATTGGCCTGTAGTCTTCTTTCTTTGTAGTGTCTTTTTCTGGTTTTGGAATTAGAATTATGCTGGCCTCATGGAACGTGTTTGGAAGTCTTCCTTCTTCTTGAATTTTTTGAAATAATTTTTTGGAGAATGGGTGTTAGTTCTTTTTTGAATGTTCGGTAAAACTCCCCAGTGAAGCCATCTGGGCCTGGGCTCTTGTTTGCTAGGAGAGTCTTGATTACCTCTTCAATTTCCTTATTTGTCATTGGTCTGTTCAATTTTTCTATCTCTTCCCGGTCCAGTTTTGGGAGACTGTGTGTTTCTAGAAATTTGTCCATTTTGCAAGATTGTCGAATTTGTTGCCATATAGTTGTTCATAGTAGCTGGTAACGATCTTTTGTATTTCTGTGGTGTCAGTTGTTACTTCTCCTCTTTCATTTCTGATTTTGTGTATTTGGGTTCTCTCTCTTTGTTTCTTGGTGAGTCTAGCTAAGGGTCCATTAATCTTGTTTATCTTTTCGAAAAACCAGCTCTTTGTTTCATTGATCCTTTGAATTGGTTTTTTGGTCTCTATATCACTTATTTCTGCTCTGATCTTTACTAGTTCCTTCCTTCTACTTGCTCTCGGGTTTCTTTTTGTTTGCTTTCTAATTCTTTAAGTTGTGGAGTTAGACAGTCAATTAGAAATTTTTGTTGTTTCTTGAGGTAGGCCTCTAGTGCTATGAACTTCCCTCTCAGAACTGCTTTCGCTGCATCCCATAGATTTTGTGTTGTTGTGTGTTCATTTTCATTGGATTCCAGGAAGTTTTTAATTTCTTCCTTGATCTCCTCAGTAACCCATTCATTGTTTAAAACGTGCTATTTAGCCTCCATGTGTTGAAATGTCTTTGCATGGTCTTGTTGCAATTGATTTCTGGTTTCAGGCCATTGTGATTTGAGAAGATGCTTGATATGATTTCAATCTTCTTGAATTTGTAGAGATTTAGTTTGTGTCCTAACATGTGGTCTGTCTTTGAGTATGTCCCATGTGCACTTGAGAAGAATGTGTATTCTGTAGTTTTGGGGTGTAATTCTCTGTAGATATCTATTAAATCCATTTGGTCTAGTGCTTCATTTAGAGTCTCTGTTTCCTTGCTAATTTTTTGTATAGAGGATCTATCCAGTGGTGTCAATGGGGTGTTGAAGTCCCCTGCTATGATTGTATTGCTGTCGATTTCTCCTTGGAAGTCCTCCAGAAGATTTTTAATATATTTTGGTGCTCCTATATTGGGTACATATATGTTTATCAAGGTTATATCTTAATCTTACTGTTGGATATATCCTTTCAATATTATGTAGTGGCCTTCTTTGTCTCTAGTCATGGCCTTCATTTTGAAATCTGTTTCATCAGATATGAGTATTGC